GCCAATCCATTCTGGAGCCAAGAAATAAGCAGGATATTTTTTCACTTCTACAGCATTTCTCCCAGCAGATCCTCAAGGGTTTTCTCCAGTGCTGATTAAGTTTCTCAGGACTCTTGGGAGATGGTTGCTGTTGAGGAAGGTTCTCAGCAGAGGGAGGGCAGACCCAGAGCCAGGGCGGTGCCTGGAGCATCCTCGCAGGTGTGCAGGGCTGGGGTGTCCCAGCACAGCCACCCCCTGGGGCTGGAGGGGGGGCTGCTCCAGGAGCTCTGTCCTGCTGGGGGGACAGGGGGACACACGGGGTCCCTGACCTGTTTGTGGCTCCCAGTATTGACCAGTGCTCCAGCTCCAGCTGCACACCCAGCCCCTGGCACAAGGGACAGTGTGACAGGGACAGTGTGAGTGGGGACAGTGTGAGTGGGGACAGTGTGACAGGGACAGTGTGACAGGGACAGTGTGAGTGGGGACAGTGTGAGTGGGGACAGTGTGACAGGGACAGTGTGACAGGGACAGTGTGACAGGGACAGTGTGAGTGAGGACAGTGTGACAGGGACAGTGTGAGTGGGGACAGTGTGACAGGGACACTGTGACAGGGACAGTGTCCCCGGTGGCAGCAGGGACAGTGGGGACAGTGAGTGGGGACAGTGTCCCCGGTGGCAGCAGGGACAATGTGCGGGCTGCTGGCACCATCTAGTGGGGTTTGTGCTGGGACCGGCCGTGCCGCTGTCCCCGTGTCCCTGCCCTGTCCCTGGGCCACCAGCACGGCCCCGGATCCCCCCGGGGGTCTCCCCCACCCTTTATCCTCAATCCTACACGCCGGGCTTGGGGGGGTGGGTTTGTGCCCCGCGGTGCCCGAGGTGACAGAAGGTGGCTTTGGGGACACAGGGGCTGCCTGCAGAGCTGGGACTGCCCTGGACCAGCTCAGCATCACCCTGGCCTCACCCTGTTGACACCCCCATGGGGGTCTGAGGGGTCAGCAGGGGACACTGGGCTGTGGGCCTCGGCCAGGGGACCACAGGGGACCAAGGCTGATGGCACAAAGTGGAGGAGTTCAGCAGTGGTTGCAGAGAAGGGAATAAACCAAGTTGCAAAATCCCAACCTTTTCTTTCTCGTCATCCAAACTCTTACACCAGCATGAGTTAGCAAAATAAAACAAGTGCCTTCCTACCCTTCCAAGAAAACCCAGGAGACAGAAATTTTTTATTTTTTATTTTTTTTAGAGCCTGAATAATAGAGCTGGCTGCTGATGGCCTTGGAAAGCCAGCCAAACCTAGCGCTTCCACCCGAGGATTTGTCTCTCCCGGCAGCATTCAGCAGCTCCTGCCCTGGGAAGCGGCTGATGCTGTGCTGGCCTCACATCTTCCCCTGGAGCTGGGGATGTGGGATGGACACACCTTCCCCTGGAGCTGGGGATGTGGGATGGGGACACCTTCCCCTGGAGCTGGGGATGCGGGATGGGGGAGCTGGGGGAGGCCGGGGATGCGGGATGGGCCCGGCACGGAGGGCAGAGCCCTGTGAGACCCTGTGTCCTGCACTGCCCGGGCACTCCCAGTCACACAGCTCTGATTTCCATCACCATTTGAACTCAGTGCTGACACCGAGCACGGAATGAGCTCACCCTGTGAAGGGATGGAAGAGCAAACAGCCCTGGATGTTCCTGCAGGGACTGGGGGCTGCTGTTTGGGCAGGGCCAGTGAGCCAGGGCCAGCTCCTGCTCCAGTGGGAGAAACTCGGGAATGGCAGCTCAGGATCCTCCACTGGGAATTTACAGGCTCACTGGCAAGCCAAGGTTGCAGCTGGAGACACCTGAAGAACAGGGAGCCCACAACCTTATGGGGAGGGAGGGGAGATGCTGGTGGGGAAAAAAAAAAAACAGGTGAAATTTCTTCCAGGAATTTTGCTTTGTCTCATAAAAATCCACATAAAAAAAAGCCAAAACCAAACCCAAGCCACACACTTCAACCAGACTGACACCTCTCCCAGAGGAGCTGTTTGATGCAGCCCTGGCTGCACCATTACCACCTCACTCAAGGCTGAGGCTCAGGTTTGTTTATTTAATTGCCATTTCAGAGAGGGGCACTGGCCACAAAGGCAGCTCCCTCACATCTCCAGGCACCACAGGACCAGTTGACCAAAGCCACCTCCTTGCACAACACCTTCTCAAGGACTGCTGCAAGGTCCTGAACGGCAGAGAGCTGGACCATTATTATGTGCTGGCACAGAAATACTGACCACATGTTAAAGCTTGAAGTAGGTCAGGCAGCCATCTGCTCTTGCTGACAGACCTCCAGGACCACGGTTAAAGATTCTCATTTAGAGAAACTTCACAGCTTGCATCAGATTTGAAAGAGCAACCATAAACCTGATGTAGCCTCTTGTTTATTGGCTCCTGTTTTAAAAATAGCTGAAGCTTAGTCTACTTCTACTAATTAAAAACCATCATTTTCTGAGTGTGACTGTCTGGGCCTCCTGCCTGAGGTGTCAGGGGTGGGGGCAGCCAAGGAGCCCCTCCCTCACCCAGCACTGGCAGACCTGAATCCAGCACATAAAATAACCTGGAAGCTTTGCACAAAATGAATGAAATAAAGAGACTGACCCCCTTTTTTTTTTTTTTTTTCCAAACAGTTCACATTTATTGATAACAATAAAAAAATCTTTTAAAGACTATCTGTATTTTATTACCAAGAATGAGGTATTATGTATACAAAACATTTACAGAATTTGATATGCAGTTCATGAGGAGGGACAGGGAAGTGAAGGACACTGATAATAGGAAAGGTGCCAACACAAGAGTCGCTGGCTGAGAGAAGGAAGAGCAGTATCACACAAAGAAAGACCAAGGTATGGGAAATTAATTAGTTAGACTGCAGTGATCAAGTCATATTGCCACAGCACTTTGCTTACAGGAAGATTAACTATTGTTTGCCTGGAATTTTATCTCCCTGGTTTGTGCTGTCCTGTGCTTTGAGCTCTAAAAGATGTGTTGAGATCAACAGCAGGAAAAACCCAAAGTGCCACTTTTGAGCCAGCTCAAGTGAAAAACAGAAATACAGATCTTCAGACTTGAAAAGTCTGCAACTCAAAAAGGTTTAGAAAGCCAAACACCTGGACAGATGTGGAGTGTTGAATGGAGCAGATCCTTTACAGTTGTCAGAAAAATCACCATCTGAGAGAGAGAGAGAGAGAGAGAGAGAGAGAAAGGGACCATCTTCAGCCCTTACAGGCTGGTGAATGGGAAGGATTGCCATGAGTGCCAGCAGATGAACCTCACTGTGCTCCAGCTGCACTCCCTGTGCTGGGAATCCTGGTTCCTGGTGCCAGGAATTTGGGCAGAGCTCCTGTGAGCAGTCCCAGAGGATCAGGCTGTGCAGACACGGTGGGAGCTGTGTGACACCAAAGCAGTGACCTGTGCCACTCTGGCAGCCTAGAGTAACAGCCTAACCTCCAGCTCCAGCTTCTGAGTCCTAAAAGAGTCCCAGAAGAGATCAGTTTGGTTCAGTTTAAGGAGGCTGCTCTCTGAGCACCTCTGTTACTAAAATATCTGTCAGCTCTGCCACGTGCAGAGCTCAGCCAGAACGGGGCTGCAGCAGAGCTGCTGTCAGGGGTCTGTCACCTGCCTCTCCAGGCATAAAAAAGCTTCACACTGAGTTCAGAACCAGCTTTCCTCAGGCAGGGGATCCAGAATCAAGAGTGAATTTTGCTTTCCCAGTGCAACACCTCTGTAAGCTCCTCCACCACTTACCCAAGCCAGACCCTGTCCCACTTCCTAGCAGGGACTGCAGCCAACACAGAAGCTCCTTGTGCCTGCATGGACAATTTAGCTAAACCAAGGGTAAGGAAAGATCAAGAAGGATCAAACTGTGCAAATCCTGCTGCATTTCAGACCAAAATCTTCTCTGCCCCACTGCCAGGTGTGCTCTGTATATGTGTGACAGTCCAGTCTTTGGAGCCTTTTGCTGTGCATAGAGAGAGGGCTCGAGAGGGAAAAACACCTGAACAGAGTTCAGCAAGGGTCCAACTTGGGCCTGGCAATCAGGGACAGAATCCCAAATGGAACATCACCTGTGGCAGTGGCAGTAGTGAAAATGGTGGAGAAAATCCTTAGAGTAACTTCTGTATCACTGAGAGGGAAGATCCCTGTGCTCCCTGCTCACATGAAGGCTGACCAGAACTGAGGTGCTCCATTTCTGCCAGGCACAGGGAAGGACAGGAGGCTCCAGGGAGGGAGAAGTGCTCAGGAAGGATGGGAGCCACACATCCTTCAGACAGATGAAGCAAGCTGAAGCTCTGCATAAATTCCTAACAAGAAGAGAATCTCAGTAAAATCCATTTGCTTGGAATGCACTAAGGAAGCAGAGTGGAGCTCCAGCACAGAGCTGGGAACAAAAGCTCAGAGCAGCTCTGGATGAGCCCAGCGTGACACAGTGAGGGAGAGCCTCTCTCTGCCTCTCTCTCCGCAGTGCTCCATGCACAAATCCAAGGAAAGGACAAATTGCTTTAACCCAGCAAGACCCAGAGCTCAAATTCCCCAGAAATGTGCTCATACAAAAGGTATATTCAGTGTTCCAGCCTGGCCACAGCTCTGTGGGCATGCTTTGAAAAAAACGGACTCACAAAGTCAAGTATCCAGCAACTGCTGTTCTTTGTCTCGGACATCATTAGTGGCAATGGGAGAACAGTTTGCAGCACTGGAAGATCACAGGGGATTTCTCAGGATGGAAGGAATGTCCTGACAGGAGACTTGCAGTTGATCTCTAATGCACTACAGAGCATTTTTGGTAGGGTTTTTCTTTTTTTGCTTCTTAACATCTATACAGTTTTTTTTAAAAAAATCATTCTTAACTGATGCACTGGTTGTTTTTCCTTGTCAGTAAGAGCCCTTGTGTTCAGAGTTAGGATTTGTGCAAGCACACTTGCAAAAGTATTTATGGCTGAGTTAGGAAAAAGGGTAAAAGTTAAGAGACAAGCTGTTGGATCTAACAAAGACCAAAACCACTAAGTGTAAAATTCAAACAGCTACTTTACTATCTATAAAAGGTTTTTTGGGGTGGGTTTTTTTTTGCACAATTGCCAGTTGAATATGCTGTATTGCAGTCAGCTGCCACGGGCGAGGGTCCAGCCATCACATCCATTTGCTTTTCAGCTGTCGTGGCACTACCTGGAAATCATGGAGCTGGAATGGGACTGGCTAGAGGAGGTGGTGGCAGCACTGAGCTGGGAGAATCCACTGTGGCTTGATTCAAGGCTGGTCATAGATCCCCTGCAGAAAAAAAAAGAAGAAAGCAGTTTTAAGCTTCAGATCACAGGAATATTTTGATTTCTGCTCTGCATCTACACTGTATTTGTTCACACACTGAATAAAAAGCAAGTAACAGTTTGGTGCAGATACTCAAAAGCTTTTCTGCCTCAGCACATAAAGTAATGAAGACACTGCACCTCCTTCAAAAACCAGATGCTGTTCAAAAAGAACAGGATTTAAATTCAGTCAAGAAAAAGGCAGAAAATTAAATTCAACAAGTGGAATTTGAATTGCACTTCCTTCTATAACCTGCCAAGCCCAACTTAAAGCAGAGCCAAGTGAGCAGTGATATTACCACAAGACAACTAATTAACCCATTTCATACATTAGTCGCCCTCAGTGCAACTTTTTAAGGCACTCACAATTTACTTGCATTTAAGTGAAGCTGACATTGACTCGATCATCCAAATAATCAGAAATAATCATTGGCTGCCCTTGGCCAGACTTACCTGAAATCTTCAGATCCTATCACTTCTGTATAGTACATCACTTTACATTTGTGAGAGGACACCTGCAGAGATGCCAGCACATCATCCACACGAGGCAGGTTGGTTGTAGCACAGGCAGGCATGCTGTGGAATTTCCACTGTAAAATGTAAAAGCCAGGCCACCTGGTCACGTGGGAGCCCTGCAAACAGATACAACAAAAATCAAAATTTAATTTGGTTAACAGAGATCTGTAGGTTTGACATTTCTTTTTCAAGCTTAGAAAAAGTGCCTACATGCCCAGAATTTTTGCCCAATGCCAATATTTCAGCTCCTGAGACAAATGGCAGTGCTGGGAGACTCTCCCCACACAACATCCTTATCAAATCTGGGATGGAACACCAGCAGTTCCTCCAGCTTTTCAACAGTGTCAAGGGGTTAGGATTTAATATGCTGAAAGGACAAGTTCTGCTTTACAACAACATCCATTTTTCCATTTATTTTCATTCACAGCTGTCCTTTGAGACAGTGAAAAAAGCAGTTAAGGCTTCTGCCTCACAGTTCAAGAGGTCACTGCCCATATTTCTAGTTTAACACTTCCATCTTGGTGACTTAAGGAGCTGCTTTTTCAGAGGCTGTTTGACTCATTCCAAGTCAACAGGAAAAGCAGTTTCAGTGTGTGACTGTAAACATGCTGCATGTTACATCAAACTTGGAATGAAAGGACAGGTTGTAAATGGCATAAAAAAGCCTTCAGGAGCTTTGGCCATTGGGAGTTCTTACACTGCCCATTAGAGGGCAAACACACAGAAGCTCAGACTTGATTTCCAGCCTTCTCTTATTACTGAGGGCAGGCACTGTGATATTCCTCAAACAGAATATTTGCTACAGTAAATAACTGTCAGAACTACAGCACAAAGCATGTTTAGCCACTTTCTGGATGTGCATTTTAGGTGTCTCCCCATGTTCCTTGCTGATCAGTCACTAGCAGAGTGATGCAGCTTCCCCTCCCAGGTAAATCCCATCCCTGCTCCATGCAGCACCCAGGCTGGAGCAGCAGATGAAACGCTGGCCAAAATGAAGCAGGCAGCCCAGCAGTGAGTCAGCACTCAGCCATCAGTGCTGTGAGCAAGAGCAATAACTCTGGGCTCCATCTGCCCCCACAGAGGCTCTGCCTCGCTCACCTGCACACTCTCCCCTTCTTTGCAGATCAGGGGAGACTCCACCATGCTGTAGTCACGCCCCAGCTGCCAGACTTTGTCTATCAACTGAACGTTGTTCCCACCAGGAGATGTAATACTGTGAGCCCCCAGAGAGTCCTTTTTGGGAGGCTGGGGGGCTCTTTTGGAATGGAAGATGTTAAAAACGATGTCGCCCTTGCACACGTCAAAATCCCATGTGATCACTGACGAGGCGTCCACGATCTGGATGAGAACCTGAGACAGGAAAGACACATTAGACAACAGCTCAGTAAAGCAAACTCCTACAGAAAAGAAAGACAAAGAACAGAGCTTTTTTGTTGCTGGGCTTAGTTTCTACTATTAAGAAGGCTTTTTAATAGTTGAAAAAAGGCATTGCAGATACAAATTCCCCCCTGCTGGGGTGTCTATTCTAAAACATGTCTTTCAGAAGCTTTCAAGCAGCTTCTGTGAGAATATTGCTTGCTTTGCTTAGAAGAATACGGCTTTGAATAGAATGAAAACCAGTGATATTCTCTAAATGGCAACAAAATAACAGGAGGAACAATCACAAACTTCAGCATCATCATGCACCAGCTCCAGGAGGTGGAAGCACAGGAACAAAATAAACAAGAAATAAACCATTCCCAGGCCTAGAGACCGAGTTCAGAGCAGAGGGCTGAGATGAAAATGAGAGCAAAGGGCAGCTGGAGCTGTACCTCATGGGGAGCTCCTTTGAAGACACTTGCAGACTGGTAGATTGTTTCAGTCCAAAGCTTGATGTCTTCATTTTCCAACTCTTCTGCTGTCCGGTAGAGGGACTTGGGAACCAGCCCACCCTCTGGTACTTCACACTAAAACCAAAAAAACATTAAAAATTATCTCCTGTGACTATTCTATCATGTTCTCTGCCTTCCAGCTTCAGAAACAAACATTCAGCAACACTCTGGAGAAGGGAACAGCCTGAAAGTAATTTTATAGCTTGTACATGATACATATGTAATTCTTTTTACAATGATCTGGGTGAGGTGTTTGCAGAACTGCACACCAGGGGAACAGATCTTGCACATACACAACAGCCAGCACCCCAGAAAGCGACTGTGCAAAGGCTGAAATTATCATTTACACCACCTTACACTGAAGAAAGATGGGAGGCACTTCAGAATCCTGAGGGAAGTGGCAATAGTGACTAAGTGTGAAAAACAGAGCTACAGAGACATGAAAGAATGGGGGAAGCTAAATTTAAGGATGGATAGTGGGGAGGTACAGAAAGTTTCCAAGCAGGTAAAAGGACATTGCAGCCAGGAAATTTAACAATTTTGAAGTTACAGCTGCCTGACAGCTCAGTACTGGAAAGTGATTACACAACCTCCCTAGGCAAACTTCTGTTTTCTGAGAAGCCTGTAGCAATGAAGCTGACAACAGGTTCCACAGAATTGTCTGGGGAAGTAGAAGTGTTTGGTAACTGAATTACAACACACAATTGAAGAGATCTCAGAAAAGTAATTTTTGTTCAAATACCCAGATGTAAAGAAGAAGAGAGAGACTGCCACTGCCTGTAACTGGCAGGAAGTATTGCAGCAATTTGCTTTCTGGTAACATTCATTTTTGCTTACTTAAGTAGTAAATTTTGCCAGCTTTAAGCTCCAAGTTAGATAACACTGCAAGAAAAACCAGCCCAGTGGAGATAAACACATGTTCTTCTCCAACACATCTAACTGTACTTCATTATCATTTGAGACTCTATTGGAACTGACACAGATGAATTTTCAAGAATGGTACAGAAATTAAGCTTAAGAGTGTACAGGAGCTGAAAACACACCCAGCCTGTGTTGTCAAAAGCATTACAGGTGAAAAAGCCTTACAGATGTTAAAACATCAGATCCAGCTGACACCCAAGGTCCAGGCAGGAAACAGCTACCAAGGCATGTGAAAATGACTGAGAAATTACAGTATCCTGCAGTAAAACCACTTTTCTGGTTTGTTGGGGTAACTGCACACTCTGTGTGGGGAGACAGGGCTGTTTGCTGAGCCCTCTCAGCAGATGTGCCACATGTTCCTTGGGCTCCTTATGGGATCTGCTTGTTAGGTGACACAGACCCTCTGGATCAGCTGATGGTGACAGCCTTGCTCAGAGCTCTGCTATCATGTTTGCCTGAACTTTCCAGGGAGCAGACTATAGCTTTTAGCTGTGCTTGGCTGTTTTGATAAGGTATTTGATACTCATCTGAGAGAAGCATTGTACTGTTCTTTTTTTAAAGTAGATCCAGAAAACAGCACTGAGCCTGGAATCCTACACCATAGCCCTCACCTCCAAACTACATCAGGAATCATTCTGTGCTTACAGACTTCTTTGCTTAGAGGAAGAATAATAATTAAAAACCCCACAAATAAGTTGCTATATGCAATAGTTTATATTCATACCATGCACTCTCCACCGAGGAAATCAGGGATAATCTCTTTATCAATATAATCCAGCAGTCCCCCAGGACCCTGGTAGTCATTTCCAGCATAAATAAGGAATTTCTTCCTAGTGTTGTCATCAATGAATGGACTAACCTACAAAGAAAGAAAAACAGAACAGATCAGGCCCTCACATTTTTCTCAAGTCAATTTACATTGTTTTCAAGTCAATTTTGAAGGACTCAGTTTTGATCACCATCCTGGTTATGCAAAGTCTACACCACAAAGAAGCCAAATTAACCAACTGTGTAATCAGGTTCTTGGGTGGTGCTTTTTAACCCACCCCAGGAGTCCCATCTAGAGGACATGCTTCCAAATGGCAACATTTGCTGCACATACAGCCTGATCTCTGAAGTGCTTTTACAGACTGAGAGAACTGAGGAACATACCAGTGTCCAGAGAACTGGGAATACTCGAGGTGCTCTTAGGATAAGTAGACGACCCAGGGTCTCAGGGTAATTAGCTTCAACCACCTCAATGATTCTCAGCAAGGCCTTGACACCAGGTCTCCATAAATGCCTCATGTTCAAGCCTTCCAGATCTACTAGACAGGTCCAAGAGCTGAATTTGAGAGAGACAAAAAGAAAAATCTCAATAATATCAAATTCTCCTTGCTTATGCAAGTGTCTAACACACTGAAACGTGGGGAGCCTCTGTGTATTTTGGTTTCTTCTGTTTTACCTCCTGTTTTTGTGCTGCCTGTAGACACTGGAGTTGAAGGGGTGTGCAATGATCACTCTGCACACTCCCCCACAGACATTTTAGATTCCAGATAAAAGTTCAGTTCATATGAAGGCAAAAAAAAAAATCCTGTCAACAGCCCAAACATTAAACCATTGCTTTTACTGGGAGATCAATTAAGTGGCCACGCTGCTGCTCTGAAGCAATTTAACATTCACAGTGCAGATTTTCTACTAACACATAGCACAACGGTGCCAATACACATCAAAGCTAATTCTGTTTGTCAGATCTCAGGGAAGGAAGCCTTTTCTATAGGAAGAGATATGTTCTTAATACTAACTACTGAGCTGCAGCATGTGTTTCAGTTTCTTTCCAAGTTCAGGTCTCGCCCTGGGCAGGAATTCAAGATTTACAGCTGTGCTGCACCAGCCAGCAGCCATTACATTATGCATAAGGCTTCTATGAAACACCAAACCCTTCTTTGTTCCACTTTAAATGTTTAATATGCAGCCCTTTAAGATTATGGCTACAAATGAAGATCCAGTAGGCAGCAACATTCAGCTGTTACACATGAGACCTCTCCCGTGGATTTGACCTCCCTCAGGGAGCTGGGGCAGCAAGTTCTGTAACAGGGAAAGGATAAGCAGGCACACCCCACATCCCTGGACCTTACAGATTAGGGGAAGGAGGCAGAAACTGGAGAGAGCCCAAGAAACATGGCATCTTTCCAGGGCTTGTTCTGCCTTCCTTCCATGCCCTTAAATCCATTCTGCAGTTACCACTTTCACAAGTGACCCCTACAATGACTTAGAGATGGGCTAGCAAACCACTTTTGACTGAACTTCACATGAAGTCATGCCAGAACATGGAAAACTAGATCCCAGGTTCCATAGGAGCCTCATGACCTCACCTTGGATCAACAGCTGAGTAGCCACACATAATAAATGAAGAATGCAAACCAGAACTGAATGCAATGAGCCTTGGCGTGGACTACAGATGAACAAGTGACATGGAAGCCACACCTTAAAGTACTGGAAATATTACTCATTATATTATCATGGCCTGATTTTTGGCAGCCTGCACCAATGCCCAGGGCCTGTAAAATCCCCACCTCCCAACAGATTTGTGAGTTAGGCTGCACTGCTCTGCAGACATCCAGCAGTAGAAGGGAGCAGAAGAAAAACAGCCCCAACAGAACCATTATGAGCACAAGACCAAGACTGCTGGGGCAGGTGTTGTGTGTCCCTCCAGCTTCCCCAGGCACATTCCCTCCAGCCCCACTAATTGGGGAGGCTCTTAATTAACTGTATGATTGCACCTGCATGTGAGACACAGCCTACCCTCTGCTTGTTCCATTGCCTGACATTCCCCTCATGCAAGCAGCTAATTCCCACAGAGCAGACTTTACCTTATTGGCCTGCCAAACACTTTTGTATTCTCCTCACATCGCCTCAGCCCTTCTTCATTTATTGAAAGAACCTGCACAAGAAAGAATGGGGTTTAGAAAAGAGTCTCAAACTCAGTAGGTGGGATAAAGAAAATATGTTTATATCCAAACACTAATTAAAACTATAAGATCAAACCAGCATAAACATTTCCCCCCGCCAAAGAACAAACCAGAAATCACTACAGTTACCCTTAATTACTCAGAAATTAAAGCCTCTTTTGAAATCACAGAAAGTAACCTTGAAACAGAACTAGGGCAAGCAAACAAAAGTTAGTGTCTGCTTGGAAATGCCACTAAGAGAGAAAAATAAAATACAGTCCCTGTCTTTTAATAGTCACTATGGCTACTCCTGTCATTACTTGGAGTCAAAAAAAGTTAGTTCAAACCTGGAATTCTGCCAGCTTTCTGCTTGGAAGCTGAGCAGATCCACAGTAACAGTCTGAGTGATGCCTTTGGAGAAGGCAGAACTACAGGCAAGCACTTTTTCTTTAAAAATTCATGATTTTTATCCTCGGAGTACAGGCTTGACAAAATTCTACTGTGGCATTTTCTCTTCTGTACAAGAGCAGAGACTGGAGCCTGAAGCCCTGCGCAAATGCAGAAGAATCTGTGCAAATGCCACTCAACAATCACGGGAGCTGCCATGAGCTCTCCCTTTCCTTCAGCCTGCAGAACGCACCAGGAACAGCGACCAGCGGCTTTCAGACGTGTTCCAACCAAAAACTGATGGCCAGAGAGCCCACCAGAGGGGTGGATGCTGTGGCAGAGGGGATTTCTAAATGAAACCTGTTGTTAGAACACTCACGTAGCGCAGCAGGGCCTCCTCCCCCAGCGCTCGCACCAGGCCCTTGGTGTCCATCTGGCCCAGCCTCAGCACGTAGAGCGGGCGCCCGTCTGCACAGAGACACAAACCACACAGCAAGAGACACTTGAGAGAGCTGCTTCGGAAAGATTCAGGTGGAAACAAACCATAACAGTTAAACCACCCCTGCAAGAGGAAGAATCAAGGGCAGACAGCAACATAAACATCACTCTGTGCAGCCACACCAACAGATTACCTGTAAATGAGCTGCTAAATGGACATATCCTGATCCAGAAATAGCTCCCTGACCTTCATGGGAAGTTCAAAGGACTTTGAGTACATCAGTACACTCCAGACCTTGGTATACACAATTAATGACACAGACTATTCTTAGCTGGACAGCTCAGGTACACCAATGAACTGAAGCTTTTCCTGTAACTGTAGAGCTGCAAGGAAGGCTGCAAGGCTTTTATCACACGTGCTCTGGAGAGTTTACAGCAACCTTTCTGGAAAAATAGCCATCCTGACATCTGGGAATTAATGAAACCAAGTGTGAACCCAGAGCCTGCCCTCTGCAGAATCTGCTGGAGGGAGCCACACTCCAGCTCTGTCAGTGCACACTGTGCAGAACTGGCACACAGCCCTGCTAATGCAGGTTAAGCCTGGTGAGAACAGACTCTGCTCCAGAGATCAGCTTCAGCTGGACCCTCTGCATTAGAGCCCTGCCTTTCCACAGTCAGCAGGCACACTGGGGCAGCCTGGCACTGGCAGGATACTCAGGCATTAAGGTTAATTACTCTGTTAGCTGAAATTGAGAATCAAAGTTTGCATTTCTGGCTTTTAGTTGTACAAAACAGCTCCCAGCCTCCTCCTAAAGCTGTGATGCACTTGTTAAGCTTTGCTTCATCTACTCTAATACAAAGGCTAAACAATCACCAGCTTAGAAAAGTGACTATGTTAGCATACAATATAAAAAGGAGAAAAAAAAAGGAAGCTTTCTACATAGAAATCTCCCTCAAGTCTTGTTGTCTGTGCAGCTTCACTCCCCTCCAACAGCTGCAAGAGAGGTTATCAAATTATCATTAAGTCCTTTGGGACACAAGGAGAGAAACTGCAAAAATCACACTATTAAAAAAACCAACAAACAACCAAAACTGCAGAGTCAAGGCAAGATATTTATTTGGCCAAGACACCGCCCCCATGGAAGTTCACAGTGTTTTATGTTTTATCAGGTGGACTAAAAGAAAATGTTACTTTAACATCGGCACACACTTATCTTGGAATGTATTGTTTAGCTTTTGAAACACTAAACAAAAACTGCTATTAAACTTCATAGCAGGTCTCCTTCCCTTCCTCCCAGACACAGATGCCTCCAAACCCAAACTAACAGCTTGGTAACCCTGATCCACCCAAATGACACACGAAGGAGAGTCTCAGCTGACAGTGCTTTGTTAGCACTGTACAATTTATACTCCATTAGAGCTCTGTGGTTTTAAAAAATACTTTAGATTGATTCCTGTCAAAATAAAAGCCATTCAGATGTATAGAAATCTGTACTAATTGCAAGCCAAAATAATAACTTCTTTTCTTTAGCACTGATAGCTCATTCTACACAACATGCTTCATTATCACTGCTGCCTTTGCTGTAGCACTAAAAGCCACACAGCATTCAGCCAGCTTAAGTTTGGCACATTTACCATACGTAGGAGGAAAGGAGCAATACTAGAAAAGAGGGTTTAAAAAAAGAACCTACCACTGTAAAGCTTTAAATTATAGAGAACTGCTCAGTTCTGAAATGGTGTTTCCATTATTGACAAAGCCATGCTCCACTTGTGGGCATGCTGCAAGAGAGATCAAAGGAACTGCAGGGGAAGGGAGGGGGCATGAAGTTCACCACAAGACTGCAGAACTTCTCAGAAGAACATTAAACAAGCTTTTGATGCATTCTGCACCTTTCTGCTCACTGGCAGGACCCAGTCGTGTGCTATTGACAGAGGAAGTCTTTGCAAAGGACAGACAAGGAACGGGCTGAAAGGGAGAACTTATTAACAGGTCTTTTTCCCTACAATCTTTACAAGCATGTTCCCATTTTCCATTTTCACAGTTTGAGGTCTGTCAAACCCAGAGCAGCAGGGAAGAGCCATTCAAGCTCTGTGATTAAACTTCTGCTGTGTCCTCCCTGTCTCCTGGCCACTACTGCTGACAGCATCCTGCCCTGTTTCATATGCTGCTGGAAAAAGGAAGAGCTGAGCAGAAACAATGGTGCCTGGTGGGAAAAGACTCAATCAGAGCACAGATCGCTCACAGTAAGAGATCATTTCCTTATCTAAAGAGCCCAGCTTGCCTCAAGCCACAAATTCCAACGTGTTTCATTTCTATGTATGTATTAGCAACGAGATCAGTGCACGATAAAGCAGAGGGACAGGGGAGTGTCAGGCTGTGGCTCACAGTACAAAGGGAATTCAGCCAAAGCTGCTTCTCTTCTTAAACAAACCTGCTCTATTTGATGTTTTTGCAACATTCCACTTCTCGTCATTAAGCTGATTGTAATGTCAAATAAATATTCATTTATGCCATCAGCAGACTTATGCAACATCAGAAATAAATTGATTACAAAGATATACTTATTTACAAACACCTTTTAATCACAGAAAGAGCACACTCAGCATTTGCCTAACGCCCCTCTAAGCATCTCAGAGCACTACGGAAGTGCAATTAATCCTTTTTTTTAAGCTCCTGGCAAAGCTGATTTAAGTATATCAGTATTAGTCAGAAAGACTCTGATCCAGGACTCTGCCTCCAGCAGCTAAGGGCTGGCAAAGGCACTGGAACAGGATGCCCAGAGCTATGGATGCCCCTGGAAGCGTTCAAGGCCAGGTTGGATGGGGCTCTGAGAACCTGGTCTAGTGGAAGGTGTCCCTGCCCATGGCAGGGAGATGGATTAAGATTCTTTTAAATTCCCTTTCAACCCAATAACATTCTATCAATTTAAGTGTCTTTAGTACATAACAACTGAGAAGTTCTAAAGAGCCACCTCTAGTTAACAGAGGGACAATTACCACCTTTGATTCAAAAGGTAAAAAGGCTGTCCAATACCTATTTTGTACTGAAACCATACCTTTGTCATGGTGATGCCAGCCTCCTGCATAGTAATCCTGGAGCACTTGGGGAGGATTCCAGGTGTCCAGAATATAATCCACCTGATGCTGCTTACGCCACGTCAGTGACTGGCAAAGGATCTCTCTTGCTTTGTCGATGTTGAAGTCCCGAGCACGCAGGAATCTTAAAATGTGCTCATCCTTTGGGATCTATTAACAAAACCAAACCAAATTTTGTATTTAAGGTTTGAAGAAAGAACAACAGAAGCTGAAAAATGTGCAGCCCTGCACCAATGCAAGAGGATGGTGTGTAGCACTGGGAGTTACTCAAGAAAGTCAGCCTTTGTTTGAAACAAAATCATGAGCCCTGTCAGGCACTGCAGCTCCATAAGAGATATAAGCTTCATAAGGGATATAAAAATTTCATGAACTCTAATGTAATAATTTCCACCTGTATGACCATACCAAGCCAGTCCAATTTAAATAAATCAGGACACAACACAGACTGTGTTTTATTGTTAAGTTAGAGGAAGCTGAGACACACATGCAAATCACAAGGCACTGGAAAAACCCCAGCCTTGCTATCAACGCTCCACTGCTACCAGTGTTTCAGTATTTAAGACTACAAGGTTTGGCCAAAACAAACAAATGTAAAAATAAGGTCATTGTAGAAACCAGGAAGACTTATAGAACTGATGTTATTCCCCTGTGGCAGTTTAACTGACAGTCTGAGAGGCTTTCATGCTAATTATTGAAACACCTCAGCTGCAAAGTCAGCTGGACAGTCACAATTAACTCCTCCTATTACCACTGCTTAAATTAAGGTTTTGATCATGGAGGGCCACTTAGCAGAAAGATTCAGCCCTGGGGGTTGTGGCAGGACTTTTCCTCAGGCCCACCTTGTGTGTCACACTCTGAGCCAGGGGACACCCCCAGGAACTCACTTTGCCTTTGTGTGTCTCCTGGAGCCACTGCCGCAGGCGGATGAGGCAGCTCTCCTGCATCGGGGTCAGGTCCCCCAGGTACCTCTTGATGTAGTCTGCATCCAATTTATCTAAAAAGAGATTACAGGTGATCAGAGTGGTCCAGACCTAACCTAGGCCAAGCATCAAGTGATCTGATTTGTGCTGTCTCAGAATGGCTGCTGTGTTCGGCGCAATCAGAACTGAATAAAGTTCCTCTGAATCAATGAAAAGATGAGCAAGGCAATAAACACATGAAGATAAAAGTCTCCTTCTGCAGCAAAGAAAGGAGCAAAAGCAGACATTTGTAAAAGTATTTTGCCAGTCTACTCAGATTCATTAATCCACAGCAGCACTGGGCTTGCTGCTTCTAGAAATACTTAAGAGAAGCTTTGATCTCCCAGTGCAAGAATCCTCCCAAATTCCCAGAAGACTTTGTCTAGGGAAGTTTCAGCTGTTTCCTCCCCATCATTCCTATAGTTACACCCATCCCTGAATTCCAGGGCAAGAGCAGACTGCTCATCTGCAACCCAATGAACAGCAAAGAGTTTTTTCTGTTTATACCTGATCTCCACTCACAAACTCAGCCCATAACAGCTGCCTGAGCTCTGCCAGGTGTCACTGCTTGGTGAGCCCACACTCTTAACAATGCATGTCACCAACTCAGGGCCAACGTGGAGCTCCTCAGCTGCCCAGGAGAAGCTCCCCAGTGCTGAGGGCCTCTCCAGTACAAAGCTTCCCAGTAAAACACATCAGACCCCCATACCATCGGGCGTTCCTGTGGTGGGCTCCGAGGGGCTGCTGGAGGTGTTGAGGATCTCCTTGTTGCTCAAGCCCTCCTTTGTGGCAGACTCTGGGATATTAATGGCAGGTGACACTGGTCTCCTTGGGTGGGATGTGCTGCTCTCTGATTTACATGCAACAGGAGGAGTCCAGCGAGGGACAAAAGTTATTCCTTCTTCCTCCAGCTGCTTCAGGTAGTACTCTATTATTTCTTTTCCCTTAGAAAAAGAAAACTTACTTCAGCTACTGAAAAACCCACACATTTAGACACAAAAAGGATTGGGCTGCAAATTAAGTGATCAGACCTCTAAAGATTTCACTTTTAAGATCCCTACACAGACACATTGCCCCAGGCCCTTCAGCAAAGCAGCCCAGCTTTCTGAGCAGAACAGCCTGTTACTCAGCAGCAGCCTCATTGTCTTTTGGTAACTTGGAGCCAGGCACATCCTTCCCAACTGCAGGCTCACCTTTTTAATATTGCTGGTGTATTGCTTCATGGCAATCTTTTCCACTGTGCTCTCAAAACCAAAAAAAGATTTGATATCCAGGCTTGCTGACTGTTCAAAACAGGTCCAATCTTCATTGTCAGGATGAACCTGCAAGTCAAAAGGTCATACAGCTCAGTTATCCATTTAGATACTTTTTCTCCCTCACAATATTTGAAATGTTTCTTGTTTTACAGGTTTATGCAGTCAAAAACATTCAAGTGGAATTTGCATGTCTTGCTTCACTTACTTCATAGTTGGGAAGAGGCAACACCAAAGGACAAAAAGCTGAGAAGCCCTTCCATGGTCCCACATCCCTTTTTTTTTTTTTTTTTTTTGTCTTAGCAAGAAAGGGGAGGGTGAAGAAACACAATTGCACCAGCCAAGAGCCAGAGAACTGCACATTTCTACACTGTCTCAGTCTAGATAAGGGCTGGGACTGCAGGGTGTGTGTGGAACAGGGTGAAAGCCTCCACAGGAACTCTGCTGTGGCTGATAGCCCGGGGCCAGCTCAGCCAGGCTGAGCCCTGCAGCAAGGGCAGGGGCAGCATTCCCACGTGTTTCCAAGAGACAGCCAAAACACTGTTCCCCCACTGACCTAGGGGGTACTTTAGCATTCTGTAGAATGAAAACCGTTTTAGTTTGTTCTCCCATGATAATGCCAAAAACAGAAGTGCACACTCCTCACTCAGCTGACACCTTCCCTCTTAGCTTATCTCTTGCTTTACTGACATGATCCTGAACACAGATTTTTAGATGGACTCGACCTTAAAGGGCTTTTCCAACCTAAACAATTCTATGATTGATGATGACACTGTTACAAAAAGCTGTTTTTTAAACTCTCTTCATCCAAAATAGAGTTGTTCAAGCAATTTCTAGGCCAGGCTCTGAATCTGTCATTATAAAAACATCACGAAAGGCCAGACTTCTGAGCATGTAACTGGCCTGATGTCTTAGGGTTCCCTCCCCCCTCAGAACATGCTAAATTTGGCTAAGAACATGATCAACACTTTATAAGGAGACAACTACAGGAAAAAAAAACCCTTTTCCATTCATTTTCTGCATTAGGGAATGGGAGTTACAGGAATAGCTTGTACAGTCTCAGTAAGCACAACTCATAACATCATTTAATGATCTTCCTGAATTTTAGTAAATTCAATTATAAATTACCTTTAATAAAAATGAACTTTTAGAAACAATTTCTTCTTCCACTAAAAGCCTGGGTTTGTATTTACCTAATTTCATTATTGAGTAGAGCAAATGGGCATAGAGAAATGCTGTGTTTTGTACATATTTACCACATGAACTTTTCTTTACAGCATTTCCCCTGTTTAAACAGAGCTTTCACATAAAAATTGCAGGTAAGTGGCAGAGTATTCCTAAATTTACCCTGGAAATTACAGCAGAAATAATTATGAAAACATTAGATAATAGTGTCAAGTGGGTTTGGCATCAAGAGATCTTTCAACCACAAGTTAAACACAACAGAAAATGTTATGACCTTAAAAGAGTGCTACAATACAGATAAATCAGTCATATTTGTTAGCTTTGATCTGACCTTTAACATCAATTTGAAGTTCTACTGCTACAGTGTGTGCTGTAAGAGCCCATGAGGATGGGCTGAGCCATTCAGAAATAAGCCATGACCAGAGCAGAGCAGCAGGCCTGCCACCAGACTCCTCTCCATTAAAATTTGCACTGAAGACCAAGAACAATGGGAAAAGATAGGTTAAAACATAGCTGAGTCAGTGAATTTCTGTCTGAGCTAGCAGAAGGCAAATCAGCTGAACTTTCTTCTGGCAGTTCTGTCAGGGTGTCATCAGCCACACCAAGTCCCACAGTGCTGCTACAAAGCACAGATTTGCCTAAACAGAGCTGTCAAACACAGCAAATTATGTTTTGTTCTGCTCTCTGAGAAGATGCTCAAGCAAGAGGGTGCCAAACGTGTCTCAGTTCTTGAAGCAAGTGTGTCACATTTAACACTGACAATTGTCACTCAGGCCAGTGCATTGGTTATTTTTTTCTTGCACAGCGAAAGCCAGGAACAACCCAAGCTCTGTTTGAGTCCTGAGATCTGAACACTGCCTTGGCTCCATCTGCAGTCCCACCAAGGGCCTGTTGTTACTCACTGTGTAGGAGCAGTGCTCGTTAATGATGACTCTGTTAGAGAAGGTCTCATTGTAGGCTTCTATATGCAGAGTCCTTTCGCGCCTGTTCAGAGAGTTCTTCTGGACAAAGTAGACGTAGTCCACTCCTGCAATCTGGGGAAGAGGCACAAATTCTGTTATGGTACAGGTGAAGGGATATCCAGGAGGACAAAGCAGGCATTTCAAAGCTCATCACCTTTTTCAGCAGCCGTGGTGCATCGATGTCCAGCTTGCAGCGCCGCTCGATCACGTGGATGGCCTCATCCTCACTCTTGTACTCATTTACAGTGTCACTGGCTACAAACATGGGGATCAGAGGGCATGTAGGAAACCTTCTTTCATATGCCTGTCACGATGGAAAGAGAACAAACAACCATCACCATTAGTTCCTGAGGGTCTGTGGAGTTCCTTCATTAACGTCACCAGCATTTGGAGGCTCAATGCCCTTCAGAGCTTCCTGAATCCACATTACAGCTGAAAGAGTCCCAGTGCATTCCAAACAACCCATTTATTAATATGTTCCTTGCCAGTAAGGCAGCTTTTAAACCACACAAAATAACCCATTTCTCCCCTCCCTCTGCAAAGGAAGTTATTCATTCTGTACCATGACAACCCCCTTGATAACAGAAAAATCAGACCTTCCAGTTCTAAAATACCACAAGACAAAACAATTATGTCTTGGATTAAAAAAACTCACTTACTAATTACCGGTGTTTCACCAAGCTGTCCAGAGGGATTTCATACAGCTCCCCAAGGTCTAATAAAAACATTTCAAAAGCTATTTCTTAAGCTAATAGAGCTTTCAAGCTCCCTCTGCACAGAGTGTTCCTAATGATTTCACTGCAGTTTATCAGTTCACAGTTTTGTCCAACAACAGTCAGTCTAATACAATGAGCTCATTTCACACTTCTGAAAATGTAAAACTTCTTGCAATAATGCAGAGCTAGCAACAGCTTTGGCTTTGGTTAAAGAACACAGTCATGTAAATAACTTCATCTCTTAAATACTTGAGACACAGAGAAGATGGTATTAAATCAGACATAGGATAGTAAAGGATTTGGGATCAGTAAAACAAGTAAGAGGGTGTTATTCCCACTAGTAAACTTGTTGGATTTTGATTTTAAAACCACTGTGCCTGAAGAATACAAGACAGCTCTTTTCTTTCCCCTTTTTTTCACAGTCTCTAACGTATCTCTACTTATCTAGGGATTATTTTTTTTCCTCATGGGATGGCAGTGAAGCAACTAATTCTTTAGCCTGCTTTCCATATTGTGAATTCCTTCATTTCTGCTGCTATCAGAACCTCACTGGCTTTGGTGAAGAGGTCAGATTTTGCAAGGTGTCCCAATGCAGAAGAAAGCTTTGATAAAATAAATCTGAGAGAACGTCATACAACAACTCTTTAAAAGAGGTAAAATATCCTCTCTGTCCCTTTAGATGATTTCAACTACTCTGAAAACAGCTGGGCTGCAGCACCAAGAGGAAGAGGGTGGGGAACAAAACAAGCAGCAGCTGCACAAAGTATGCAATGGTGGTGTTGGAACAGAAAAGGTCTCTTAATTCTCCCTTTAGAACAATTAAAATACTTCAGTTTATTACCAGTGTTCAAACCTAGTTTGAAGGCAGTGTTGCTATGGTGACAGTGGTGTAAGGCACTAGAACAGTGTCAGCTTTTTTCCCCCTTGTGCGTATTTTTAAACCATTTTTGCAGCATGACTGTCCCGAGTTCATAAAGCTCCTCTGTAAGGCAGCACAAGTGCAGCCAGGGAAGGGGTTACACACAGTCCCTGCTCCAGACCTCATCTGTGCACAGCTGGGTTGGTTTGACTGAAGAACAGCAATAATTCCTGGGCTCAGAGATGTGTGCACAATAGCAGGGACAGAGCATCAGTGTTATAACACAATAGTCAGCACTGGGGGAGAAAATCTTTCACAGCTCCGAGACAAAGGGAGGATGGGTCCTATTAACATGGAATAAGTTGTTCCTTTTGCCCTATTGGTATGGCAAAGAAGTTCTATTTCTTTTTACAAGGCTCTTGTTCTGGACAGAAGGCTGCACATTTTAGCTGCTCAGCCTAAAATCTCAGCCCTCTTCCTGAAAAAGTTCCTGCATTCTTGCTAAACTAATCTCTATTTTAATTGCAATGACTGTAGTTAAATGTTGTTAAAGTCAGAAAAAGATATTTCTAGAATCAGAATTTAGAGGTATTTCTGGTTTTCAGATTGTTTCATTTAATACTTTTATTTGAGTACCTTATGATTATTATACAGACAGGAGAGCAGAGGAAGAAAGTATCTAACATTTTTCTCACTTTTTTCAGTCTTTTTTACATTTGGATGACAAGTTATCCCCCATTTGAACAGCCCCCTTTATGCCAAAGCCTTTGCAAGTCTCCTTCTTTGCACATATTGATGCTTTTCTCATCTTAGTCCTCCAAACACTTTGTGTTTGCCCTGTGAACGTTTGCAATTCAGAGCATTACCTGCTCCTGAGTGTTTGCTGAACTGTGAACAAAAAAAACACCCAAGAAGATTCGTTTCAAATGGCAAGACTGAATTGAATGTGTTCGATTTGGAAGAGAACAAAATAATTATCTGTCAAAAGCTGGCAAGCTGAATGTTCACAGCAAAGTACTTGAGGGTTTCCAAGAGATTTAACAGTGACTTAGGATTCTTTCTCCCTAAAGAACATACACACAGAAAACTGTTCACAGTTGATTTTATTGGGCTCTTAAATTAGTCTGGTTTTATTTCTTTATGTCCCACTGCCAATACATGCTTGTAATGCACCATTTCTCAGCACAGCCCAGTTTGAATAAAAGGTGATTAGAACAAACCATGGCCACATCAAAATATTCAATGTGATTTAAGCCCAGCTGTGACTTCCACAGGGGACAAACTGCTCTGTTTCACAGCACAGAGTGGGCAGAAAAAAACTGCTAAAGGCTACAGGACACTGACAGATCTTTCACCACAAATCAATACAGCACAGGAACAAAACCTGTAATTTATGGTACAACACAGCAAGAGCCACGTGAGTCAGAGCAGCACATGCATGGCCAATTATGGTACAACACAGCAAGAGCCACGTGAGTCAGAGCAGCACATGCATGGCCAAGAGTGGAGCTATTCAGGGAGCACGAGAAAATTAAAGAAAGATCAAACACTGCTTTTATTTTCCAAGAGAACTGAAGGGATTTTTCTGCATTATTGAAGTGTTTTGAAACAGAAACTTTGTCTCAAATCCAGCTTTGCAGACAGGAAAGAACTGAACTGCATTATGCAGTATTCCTCCAGCAGGCTGATAAAGAAGAGTTTATTATAAAATGTTGTCCCTTCATTGCATGACAGCATTGTGGTCAAACCTGGACAGATAGGTCTCTCTGCACAAATAAAATCAGATATTCCACACCCCTGTCTCAGTGTTCCAATTCCACTGTACAGATACAATCAAAGACAATTAGTTCCTCAAAAGAGAAGCAGCTGCAGAAATGCAGGAGTGAAATGCTGCTGCAGCACTAAATACACCCAAGAATGGTGTTTCAATGAAGGTGTTTCAAGGACGTGACACTGTTACTGTTTTGTTTCCCCCCTCACATGTAACACAGGGTGTGTGGACACTGAGCACAAGTCAAAAGCACAGATGTGCTCATCCTCAAAACCCTGCAGCTGCTGCTGGGCTTGATGTGAAGTCACAACACCTCCGTGGCTGAGACATCTGTATAGAGATCTTTCAAAAAGTGATTTCGAGCCTGCAATTCTGCAGATTCTCAATAATGTACCTTTACATTCCCCACCAGCCTCTGGAACATTTGTGTACTCTGATCCATTAGAAGCTGCATTGTGCATCAAGAAAAACACAGTCTGGTGAAGCAGCTTGAACCACAAATTTAACTTCCTTAATGCATGTTAACAGCAAGAGCACTGACAAGCATAATTTCAACCAAAATAGCACTGTAATAAAGCTTCTTTTCCAACTACTTCCCTTAGCAACTCATGCTCAGAGTAGAGTCAAAATAACAGGATTTATTCCAGTTTTATCCCTGCTAGAATTTCAGCTGAGTGTGAAGACATGAAAGCAATTCAGAAGTCAGACTATTTTAAACTCATTGCAGTCGCTTTTCATAGCAAAGGGCTATGCTGCCACAACCCTTAGATTTTGGAATTCTAGTATCAGGAATAACAAGTTCCTTTCAAAATACCACCTTTAAAAGAGCACTTAGGTATGACCCCCAAATCAATTTTCAAAGATTTCTGGAATTTTGCTTCTCAAACTATGCCTAGGGCTAATAAAATACCTTGATAATAAGCATGTGCTCAGTCCTCAGTAGGCAGTCATTCATGCAAATAAATTACTCAGCTTCTCTGGCCAGATTAATATTCCCAGTCTCCTGCCTACAAGGACAGGGATTATTTAGTATTTCCATTAAATGAGTCAGAACTAACTTCTACACTTATAAGAGGAAAAAAAATATTCCAAGCAACCTTAAACTGTGCTGTTCTAGTAGGTGAATCCTCCAACAGAAATTCTAACCCAGTGAAATACAAAGGAATTTCAATTATCATTGAGAAAATTAAGCATATTGAGTGCTTTAACAGCTTAATGGCATGAATCAAGCTGATAAGATGTTTTATTTCTTTTTGATGTTTTCTGTCTGAAATTGGTGTCAGAGCAGCGTTCCAAGAGCAGCACCACATTCTCCAAGGGCACCTCAAGAGAACCCACAAACAGATTCATCCTGGCAGTCCAACCTCAGTGCTAACTTTAATTTCTGCCTGCAGCACCTGACCACGTGTGGGTACCAATGTGCAAATGCATGCCAAAGTTCACTGTGCTCCCCCCATGCACTTGCAGTGTGTGGGATTTCTGAATTATTCATAAACACAAGAAACAAGAAGGGGCACCCAAGCAGGATGCTGCCCTGGCTCCAGAGGCTGCATTCCAGCAGCCTGATCATTCCTGCAGAGCACTGTATCCCTTCCTCCCCTTGCATTACATCACTGCAGATCAATAGGAAAAGCAGCAACTCATGGAAGGGCAACCGAGAGGTTTCAAATTCTTGGCAGATGAACTTGGAAAGAAACAATTCTGGATGAACTCTCACAGATCAGCAAATAATTTTTCATGCTCTGTATTCTGCTGTTCAGAGCTCTCTACCACTCCCTTTGCAATCCATACATATGTATAAAAATCATGACACTTGTTCAAAGCAGTATAAAAATCGTGAGACTTGAACAAAGCGGTGTGATCTCGGTGCCAGTGTCTCTGAGGGATGTTAGCTCACATGGGAGTGATCAGCTCGGGGGCGTGTGTGCAAGAGAGCAGATGGTTACAGTGGATACACC